GGGCCAGAATGCAGGGTCAGAGAGACTGCAAGGCCTTGGAACAGAGAGAGGTCTGGAGGAGAGGACAGGCGGAAGGCAGACCCTGGAAAGAGGGAAAGCACACTCACCTTTCCCCATCTCATGCCCTCCCCCAGCCTTCCTTCATCCTAAGGACAGATCAAAATGAAAGGATGGAACACAGGAGTAAAAATGCTGTTTAGTTCTGAAAACCCAAACCTCCACCATCATCCCACCCACACCCTTTATATTCATCCCAAAGCTTACGGCTTTCTTTTAGCATATTGATTCTCAAACATTACATTGAAAGATCTGTCATCTATTTACTGGATATGAGATGGATGAGAGTACCTATTTCCAGTGGGTTGAGGGATTGTATAAAGGCAGTCAGTTGAAAGGAAAGAAGTAAAAAGTAGGGCTGGGGGTGTGGTTCAGTGGTAGAGCCTATCGAGTGTGAGAGCCTGGGTTCAATCCTCAGCACCACATATAAATAAACAAAATAAGGGTATTGTGTCCACCTACAACTAAAATAATATTAAGTAAAAAGTAGCCTACTAAATCCATAAACTGGCCAGATTTTGGATAAATGAAGAGGAGGTTTTGCATTAAGGAATCAAAAGTAATACGTCCAACTTGTGATTGTTGCAAATATTGGATTCTATTCAGACTTGATTTTAAGAGCAGATAAAGTAAGCCAGAATTAAATGGAGGCTAGGCAAACATCACCTATTCTGAATCACTTCCAAATTTCAGTGGCAAAATAAAATGTTGGTGTGAGCACAGCAACTTCCTGACCTCCCTGTATTGGTAAGACACTGGCCAGAAAAACTGATGCAATTGTGCTGGAAGCAAAACCAGTCGATTAAAAAACAAGAAAAAAAGAACATGTTTATGTTGCAAAATTAAACAATCACATCAGCTTTTCTGAAATACTCTGGAACTCAAAAAAGCATGCATGCAAAATGTATTTTGAAGCATTTCCATTTAAGTGTAGGTTAATACGTTCCATGTGCCACTTAATATTATGAAATAGGAGAAATAAACTATTAAAAAGTACTTGTAAAAAAAAATCCCCAAATCTCTTCATCAACTTTTTAAAAAGACAAACACAAATTAATTCAGCCTATACAATTTAAGAAAAAGTTATTTATCTTTTTGTCCCAACCTCATTTGCCAGAAACACAGCACACTGTTTGTGGTAAACACTTCATTATCATGTAAGAAGTCAAATATAATTTTGCAAAAAATGAGATGTTATAGAGGAAGGAGAAGATGAAGCTTCAGTCAGTATAGAAAAGACTACAGAAATCAACTCCTGCCACACCACGCCCCCTACCATCAGTCCACCAGAAACACCAGTTGTATGTCTAGGAGGCTTGCTGCTTTCAAAGAGTTTTAAAGAAGTTTGCATTAAGTCCCTGGTTAAAATATGGAAAGGATTTAAGATTAAGTCATCATATGCCAAGCTCAAGAAATTCCAAGGGATCATAACAAAGTTATGATTTGTCTATCCACTTTCAGTAATTCAGCCTGAAATGTAGCTTACAATCATTCCAAAAAAATATAATCAAATAACCTCATTTGCCATACAAATAAATCATAAGAGGTCCATAAGACAGATACAGTAGGGATTCACAGTAGCTAATAATGACTGTGCATTGAAGTGGGATAAAAGGGCCAATGAATATTAACATTGTTACCATGTAGACCAAACATAAGTTGTCAATCAGATTTCCAAAATGTTGGTATGTGTCTTTCTTCCACAAAGATATTCATTCTCAGTATTGTGTTTGTGCCTAATTTATAGAACAAAAAAAAAAAAAAAAAAAAAAGGAAAGAGTATTCCAGCTGGGCCCCATTAGGGACTATCAAACACATTTTCGGATTTTGCTTCAAATATGGAGAAGAAAAATGCAGAAGGAGATTAGCAGAGTTGTTCATGATGGTCTCCCCCATACAAAATTTTGTACAAAAGTATAGAAAGTTTTACATTCTATTTTCTCAATCCACCGGCTGTATTTTGAAATAAAACAGAGTTAAATGATACATTTGCGCTCTATTCCAGACTGGATGCAATTGATTTTAACTGACTAAATTATCTGATCTCTGCCAAGAATTTTATTTCATTAAGAAAATGATATTATGGAGCATCTGAGATCATAGAGCAGACTAAACATAATGCCAAAGGAGTTCTGAGAATGCTCCACAGTGAAGGTTTGATTATTTGCAGATGGAATATGAAAAAAGAAAAAAAAAAAAAAAAAAAAGGCCCAGGGGAAGCCTAACCAATCCTGGTACCGCTGCCGCCTACACAGGAACACAAGCCAAGAAAACAACTGGTCTTCCAAGCTACAACACCTTTTCTAAAAAGTAGTAATCACTTTTCTTCCTAGAAAGTAATATTTAACTGCCACTATACAAAACAAAGGGGAAAAGGGAAATGTTGGCACCACAATAAGCTCTAGCATGTCAACTGTCACTGCTGACATGATTTGGCTAGTAGTCAGGCATTCACCAAGAAACTAATTTAAATCAATCTCCTTTGGGAAAGCCAATTGTTTGGTATGCACAACAATTGGTGTAGGATCAATCAGTGGACATGAGATCAATTAAAACCAGCTTAAGTTTGTGAAGAGGGGCAATTCACACAACTTGAGTTAGATCTCTATTCATTTCAATACCCTCACAATGCAGTCCTTAAGCTTCCTTGCAAAGCAGAAAAGCTACTATCACCCTGCACTGTCTAGCCAGCCCTTTAAGTAGTTCCACTTTTAATTAAAAACACAGTACACCCTTTGTTGGCACAGATAGTGTGGTCACTTTTAAGGACCGAAGTTATTTTAGCTAGAAACTTGGGATTTGGGAAAGGACATCTGTTGGGGGTGAGGGGGTGACATACTTTGATAAAAATTTTTTTCCTTTTCTTTTACAACCTTATTAATTTATATGTACTTAAAAGCATTCAAAGTTTATGCAATGGAAAGGTCAGTTTGGCCACAGTTAATACTGCACACTTTGGAACTGGGTTTCTAAATGTCAGCGCCTGGGGAAGTGGATAGTAGCTGCTACATGAGATTTTGCTAAGGCAAGCTTTGAAGGAAATGGGTTCTGCCACAGGCAGAACCTTAAGAGATGGCCCTGTGGAGAAACATGCAGTATCGCTTCTGGCCGCAGGAGTGCTGTAATGTCATTCTCCAAAGAACAGCATCAACAGCATCACTGCATTAAGTTCACTAAAACAACGTGCTTGATTCTTCGCCACTCAAACACAATGGGACAGGCGGGGTAGATCAGAAAGCCATCACTGAATAGTAAAGAATTTGTTCAAGGGTTTTAGATATTTCTATATTTTACAAACTTTAAGCACTTTAGTTTTTCAACTAGGCTTCAGCTTTTAAAGGGGGAGGGGAACCTCTTTAAACAATTGACTGCAGTATAGCCAAAAATTCCAGCTTTGCCAAATAATACCTCGAAGGAAAATACTGGGGTGTGGAAGGACGCGGAGAGGGGCTTTTCAAAGTCATATCAAACTCTCGTGGCCTATAGAAAGAAATTTTTCCCTTGTATTTTTAGATAGGGCAATTTCTAAAAATAAGCATTTTCTAAAGTCAGAACTGAAAGAGATGTGGGGGTAGGTGTATGTATCCTTAATGTCCAGAGATACATGTCAGCCATGGCAGTTGGTAGCTGGAGAAGTCTCTCACCAGTCATACCCAGCTCTGCCCTGGGGTAGGTCAAACTCCAGCTCTTCCAATGGTGAGAACTGCTTAATGATACCCTAAAAAATACCCATTAAAAATAAGACTTGAAAAAATCTAAATGTAGGGCCGCAGGTTCCATAAAATGAGTTATAAACAAATCACATCACAGGTCGAGATGTTTATATCACGGGGGTGGAGTGGGGGGGGGGGCCCAAGATCTATGACTCTCTCAACAAATTCTAGCAGCACCAAAGTCTGAACTGCTGGTGCTGCTCTCAGCAGGTAAGTGCCTGCAAAGGGCTTCTGCACACATGCCCTGAGCGCATAATTCAAGGGATGTGTGGCGGTTCATGTTTAAATCCTCCGGGAAGACTTAATTGTGCCTAGCTGCACATACCCTAAAATGCAGTTGGATGAGCTGCAGGCCCAGCAAGGCTGCAAGACCGAAATAAGCCCACAATAAATCTGTAGGAAAGCTAGTTAATTCTCCAAAACCTTCCTTGAGGTTGGCATCCGCGTTCCTTGCTGCTCGCACAAGTGATGGAGAGGGAGCGAGCAGTTAAAAAGCCGCAAGTGAATTTCGTTGTGCACAGAAATCCTACTCCGAAATTGCTGCTTTTGAGGAAAACAAATGGAGAAGCAAAGCGGGGCCTATTTTTAAAAACATCACGCTGCAGGCAAACACTCTAGAAAGCCAACGCAGGAGTAGCTGGTTCATTCAGAAAGTTCTCCTTTTCCCCGAAAAGGTCTCAGGTTCCCTAAAAAGAGAGCAATAGTGCTCTTTTCCTGGAAACGCAGGTTCTTCAGCTCAACTTGACAGAAACTCTTACCCAGCTCTTCAACACCCCCACCCCCACCCTCAGACGTTAGGCCAGGTCCAAGCAATTGGGGCAGGGATTTGGGGGCACGAAGATAGAGAAAAATGGGGTTTAGGGAAGATATTAAGAGGACAAAAAGAGAGCAAACAAGAAAAAAAAATGGATCCCAGATAAGAAATGAGACCCAAGAAAGAGTCCCGGAGTGGAGGCGCGGGAATCACCCTGCGTGTGAACCGCACGACTTAAGAGCTGAGCGCTCTGGAGACGCCGGGCTCCCCGGGCTCGCAGCGCGTCTCATTCTGGCTCACCGCACCCACCCGGGACAGAGGAGACCGGCATTCTGCAGCCCTCGGGGCCTCAAAAGAAAAGAGAGGTGGTCCGCAAGAGCTGGGCTGTGGAAAGCACCGTCCTGCCCATTTGAGCCCCCGAAGCCGAGTGGTGGGCGAGCGCCTGGACACCCCCGCCCACACGGGACCCCACGCACCTTCAGCTGAGAGGGACCCACCTCGCTTACTGCGTCTCCATCGATTGCCTTGGCAGTGGCTGTAATCCATACAGTTCAGAATGATGAGGGCAAAAGAGAAGAGGCGAAACTGCATCTGGACGGTCGGGCGGAGGAGAGACGCCTCTCAAAGTAGGGGAACTGAAAGGTTCATCCAAAGAGACGGCACCGGCTGCGCTGCTGGGGACGACACAGAGGAAGGGTTGCCACTAGCCCCGGGGCTGCACTGGTCAATTCGGCGCGTTCAGCATCTCTTCTACCATGAACCTGAGAGACGAGGAGCGAGAAAAAGAGTGGATGGAAGACTGAGAGAATCCCGGCCAGGCAGCTGCGCCTTCGCGCGTCCCAATTTAAAGAAGGGAGGGAAGGAGGAAGCAAACCCAATGCCTGGCACGAGCCACGGAGCAGCCTATTGCAGAGCGTTAACAGCTGCAGACGACTTGGAGAGGAATTACCATCAGTGAATTAGTAACCTCTGCCGAGCTAAGGGCTCCGACCCGGGGTAAAAGTGCGGACGCTCAGGGGAATGAAAAACGCCCTAAAAGCACCGAGAGTGCAGAGTTAAAAGAACATTCTTGGGTCCTTTAGGCCCCACGGTGGGGTACTCAAGCGCTGCGGCAGCGAGGTGTGGGTTGCCTACCGTGCGCACATACGTCTCGGGAGGCAAGGGGTGCCTAGGCGCGGCGTTCCATCCCGAGCTCGGGAAGCGAGCCGCTTGGTTAGCACGTGGGCTCGAGAAAAGTTTGCCAACACCCGCCTAGAGCTCCTGGCGGCTCTGGGATTCCGGTCCCCGCGGCTGGGTCGGCACAAGCTGAGGGTCCTCCGGCCGGCGGCGCCCGGCAGGAACGCGGCGGGGCAGGCGTTTCCGCAGCCACTAAGATGCTGCGTCTCCACCCGCGAGTGCGATCCCAGAGCCAGGGGTGCTTCGGCTTTCGGCGTTTCTGTCCAATAGTGCTGCTTCTCGGGCTCTCTCCACGGTCACTCCCCAGCTAAGGTTTCTCCCTGACCAGCCCGTGAGAGACTAGAACACTCTCGGGAGGCCGAAGAGATGTGGCGAGCGCACTTTCCAATGGAGATGCAGACCAAGGCTCGGGATGCCTCTATAAGTAGGTGGTGGCATCTAAATCCAGGCTGCCTCAGCGTTCCTGGGTCCTAAAGCCAGAAACTCTTGGGTTTCCCTGAGGTCCTAAAGAGAGCTGACCGCCTCTAAGGAGCCTAACTCCAGGAGAAACCCTTGCGGAGCTTTTCAAGAGGAGATGGCCAAGGTGAACAGCAGCTCGGGTCACAGGCGCCCCCTGACCTTGCTTTGCGCGAGAGACAAGCGATTCACGCCCAATTCGTCCTCTCTAGCGCTCTGGGATCTGTTCCAACCTTAGCGCCAACCTTCCCGCAGGGGGATCTGAGGAGGGACTGATGCCTTCTACACTTTCCTTCCCAAGCTTTAGGCCAGGACCGCTGCTACTGACAAGCACAATTTAAACTTGAGCCACATTCCGCAGGAAGCCACACCTCTGCCACTTTTTAATTTACATCTTGGCTTTGTTTTATAGGAAGAGCTGAAAGCAGACTTCAGATCTGAAAGCAAGACTGAAATCAAAATGTACAGTTTAGGGAGTGAGATGAGTTTTTCTAAAAAGCTTTTCCTTGTCCTCAGAACTGTTGTTACTTTGTTTTTCCTGCTGGACATTTCATAAAAATGTGTGATACCTTGTCTGCAGTACTTAAGAAACTGGGACCCTGATTTTTTTTAAGAAAAATTCACTTTCTATTGGTGTTTCTCATTCTTAGTTCCCCTCTCTCCTCCCACTTTGAAATTTTCCTGAATTAAACTTCCAGGTGTCTTGGGTTTGAGGGAATACTATACTCAACAAGGTTTTACATTAAATACACATGCTTCTACCCTTTTTCTTGCTGGTGAAATCTCCTGTCCTGCACTCAATACTGTAGGGAAGAATGTATTTGTCCCTTAGGCAAAAGATAGGAATTTATACTGCTAAACATGGCAGTATGGACGTCTCTATAGACATGCTCACAGGTACTATATTATTATGGTAGCATCTTATTTAAATTATTAAAAAGTTTCAGAAAATACTCAGAAATTTGAGCCAAGACAATCATTAAAAAAAAAAATAACATCAAACTACTCATGTTTGTTAACTATTCCATTATACCTGCCTATCGTGCTAGGAATTTCAATATTATGCCCTTTGTGCATGCCTGAGAACACTCAAGTGAATCTGAGATGAGGTCATTGGTCCCACTTCATAGATAAGAAAATCCAGCCCTGAGACTGGCCCACAGGGCATGAACAGAGTTGACAAAACACATTGCAGAAACAGCGAATCTGTTTCTTGGCTTTCTAAGTCTTTGATTTTTATCACAGAATTTGGAAGCAATTGGAAACATTTCAACTTTGGGAGTGGTGCCGCATTCAGCATAATGACTTGATATTCTACTGAGTCTCTCCAGTATCATAAGTACCACTTTCTCCCCCATATACTCACATGCATGTAGCAGATGTATTGCACTAATAAAGGAGTAAAATCCATGGAAGTTTACCTAGCATGTCCTGAGTTCAATCCCTGCACCACTATGTAAATAAACAAATCCTGGGGGGGGGGGGTCATGACAAAAAAAAAATCTCTAAATAAGCTCCCTGCCTTCCTGAATAGTTTGAGGCCCCATATGGCATCAATGGCGGTGAGTGTCCTTTCAAATGCCTAAAGAAAAATAAGCACAAACCCAAGCAGATTTAGCTCCACCATTTACCACCAGGATTACTTTGAGCCCCTCTCTGGATCTCAGCTTCCTTGGTAGTATTTTCAGGAAGTCAGGCCAAGGTCACTTTCATCTCTATCATGCTCTGGCTTAAAATCAATTTTCCATTTTCTGTTGAGATGTTTACTATGGGATCTGACCAATGTGAGGACAAACTCATTATCTCTTTGTAGAAAAAGAGACATCCTTGTTAAATTACAGACCTCTTTCAACCTTATCCCTGTAAAGATAACTTTCCATAATTTTTGTCCTTTGGGTGGCACAGTTGGCATTTTTTAAAACCAGAGATACTTTTCAGTTTAGTGAACTTCCAGATTAAGTTCATGAAAAAGAATTGTAACAACCCCACTTCTGTAAAAATATGCTCTCACTTCTGGTTTCTCTTTACCCTCACCATTCTCTTCACTGAACTTCAAAACTCTGCCATGCTTAGTTAGTGGGACATTTAAAGTCTCATGCTAAATCTCTGGGGCTAATATGTTGATAATGCAGGGAAGGGTTTTTTTTTGGGGGGGGGGGTTTTTTTTTTTTTGCATTTTTTTCCATTCACTGAATATTTTTTTCTGATTTCAAGAACCCAGGAATGTTCTTTCTACTCAAAAATACAACCCCAGTGGATCCTAAACTATCATTAACTTTAATCCCATATCTCTGCTTCCTTTCATTTCCAAATTCTGTGTTGTCATTGAGGCTCACAGCTTACAGATTCTACATTTCAGAGTCTCAATGAACTTTTTCTTCAAACTAAATTTATATTGTGTTTCATTAAACTAGGTTTGTAAATAGACATGTGCCAGTGTCTGTGTACAGAGAAGCATACTGATGATATTTAAGATGTAGACTGCATATCACTCTTAGGCAAAAGAGAAGGTTAACAGAGGCCTGGAGTAGGGAAAGATGTAAAGACTAGAGGCAAGTTTTATATTTTGCTCTTTTAAGTTTGAATTCATTCAGATAGCTTAAAATCAATTTTTACAAAAGGATATCTATGGAAAAGGCTCTCATACCTCGCTCCCCCAGGTAGTGAGTGAGTTCTCCTTAGAGATAAGTTATTCTTGTATAACCTACCAGGTTCTGAGTAGACTTCAAGAGATATTTTGTGTTTATTAAGCAAATATATATGTGAAGATAAATGCGTACATGCGTGTGTACATCCACTTGTAATATATTCTTTCCGTTTTTTATGCAGCAGTATTAGTTGAATACTTTATTCGCTGATCAGCATCTTGTTTCTTCAATGTACTTTACAGTTCATTGAACATCAGTTCATAGAGAATGTCCTATTCTTTTTATACATTGTATATCTTTTCATTGTCTGGCTGTGTTGAGTCAGCTGCCTACTGATAGACAGTCATATTGTTTTCATTCTTTTTCTGTTATAAGCAAAGTTTTAATTAACTCTCATAGATCATTTTATAAATTCCTTCAAGTAGAAAAGTTGGATCAAACAGTTAGACATATGTGTGTGTGGCTTGTTGTATGTTTTCTACAAATTGTTTCCTGGGGACGGGGGAGTCTATCACACTGGCCAATATTTTTTTGACTTTTGATACTTGTAAGCAAAAAGTGGTTATCTCAGCATATTTTCACATGGGATATTTTTCCCTTTAAATGCCTTTACTATGCGTTAGTCACTTACATTGCTTTTACACGAACTCTCTGAACATATCATTTGATGCTTTTTCTATTGTGTTCCTGGTCTTTTAGTTTTGCTTTTTAGAATATGAACATAACAATATATATTATGTTGTGAGATTTGAGTTGCAAATACTTTTCAAACTTTATCATTTGTCTTTTATATTTGTTTCTAATGTATACCAATATATATAATAATTTTAAATATTTTTACATAATGAAATTTGTCAATCTTTTATAAATTCAGAAAGGTCATGCTTGAAAAACTCTTTCACATGCCACTCTCTTTAAATTTCTATTTTAGAGTCTGCTAAAACTTACTTTCAATATAAAGAACCTCAGAAAGTTAATGATTTTTATGACTGAGAAATGAGAGCTAAAGATAGATTGAAATTTTTCTGAATATTTAAACATTTAAGTTCACAGATTTGGTTGATTTTGGCATTGATTCTTGTTTTCATTAAGCTAATTGATTTAGAGTTCTCTTATCTTTTATGTTATCAGATATTCATATTTTCAAATTCAAATTTTCCCACAATCTTTTTATTCATTGTTGATATTTGTTCATGTTGTATATTCTCTTCTAAGCCAGAATTTATCCTTTAATTGCTTTGGAATAAATTATGGCATTTTTTGATATTATGTCAATATTAACTGTATAAGTTTTTTTTCCTTTAAATATAAACAAATGTCTCTTTTGCTAGTTGCCTATGTTATCACATGTTCATTTATTATATTTTGTATAAAGTAATTAAATCAATATGAAGGATCTTCACCAAGGTCAGGACCAGTCCTTATCCAAGCTAATTCGTTGTTTTTAAAAAGCGTATCATAATCACTTATTTAACATTTGAAAAATGTGTAAATATTTGACTCCTCCAAATGTTAATACTGTTCTGCCACTTGAAAACTCTCTGTACACTGATGTGATAAGGCCTATTTCTTGATTTGTTCTCCATCCCATGGAAGAAATCCAGGAGGCAGTTTTGTTGACTTCAAAGGCCATCCAAATCAGACCAGCTTAACAGAAAAAACTCAAGATTTGACCTAATGTTTTAGAATCATTTCCCTTACATAATCCTTTATGTCCTAAACTTTTTTGAACTACAGTAATTTATGTCATTACCATTCTTTTTCATGTAAAAGTGGTTGCTAGAAGGAAGCATTACTATACTACATTAAAGAGAGATACCAAAGATTCTCTGTTTCTAAAGAATTAGGCTCAGTCCCCATTAATATAAATAGAATGTTTGTTTTCACTGTGTTTACCACACTGAATTAGCTATTGAGATAAACATAATTGCTAATAATAAGAGATAAACATAATCCCTAAGACCAAGAAATATCCTTCTCAGAATTTTTTTCCCCCACTGGTATCCAAAATAGCTATACCTTTCTAAACATTTGATTTGGTTTTTAAGTTATGGTTATAATGAACTGTGCTACTGCTCAAGAGCAAATCTGTGACTTACCATCAACAAGTGCATAAGACTTTATAACTAGCATTTTATTTATTGGTTTCATTTCTTCATATTTTTACCCGTATTTTCCCTTTGCCATATTTTCTCACTTATTTTCAATATATTTTACTTGCAATGTCATATGCATCTCACTTTAACCTTGGAACAATACAGAAAAGATTTTTTAATGACTGTTTTCTAGTTATGAATAACCCTTTATTTTTATTTATTCATTTATATGCAGTTCTGAGAATGGAACCCAGTGCCTCACACATGCTAGGCAAGCATTCTACCACTGAGCCACAACCCCAGCCCCTAGAAAACATTTTTAATAATAAAATATATATCATTTTTTTATACACACACTCACACAGAAAGTTCAGAGAATAAATATTGGGGTTCTTCTAGTTGGGGAAATAAACATGCAGTGGTTTGGGGATCAACTGGGCCTACTGGGAGATAGGCTAACCAAGC